AACACTTTCATTTAATTTTTTTAAACAAAAAAAAAAGAAAAGTGAATGTATGACAATCTTATTTATTGCAACAACTCAAACTACCATGACACTTGGAATTGCACAAAAGCCTTTTGTTTTTACAGCTACATTTAGCTGTGGAACACTTCTGTTTGCAGTTACAACGTGTATAGCCTTGCCCTCCACTTTTTGAATTAGCAGAAGCTACTTCTCTTAGCGATATTTCTTGAGTTGAAATCTCATCCATGGAAATTAACTTTTCTTTACAAATTGCGAATTGATTACGGGTGAAAAGCTGCTTTAAGGTACCATTTTTATTTGCTAACTTATAAAAGTCTGAATCCTCTATCCCAATAACAGTTGCTAACACATTTCGGGGGTCTGTACGCCCACGGTCGACGTCAGGGACTTTAATTCTTACGGTATCGCCAATTTGGGCCGGAGGAAACTTTTTTTTTGAGGTTCGCAACATTTTTGTTGCTTGAAGTAGAAGATTTTCTTTTGCGGCTACTCTTTTTGAATAAATTAGCTCGTGTTGTTCAGTCAGAACTTGACATGAAGACGAATTCGGTTGCAGATCAGTCAGTGCTTGAAATGAAGACGTGCTGGGTTGCGGATCAGTCAATACTCGAAATGAAGATGTGCTGGGTTGTGGATCAGTCAGTACTTGAGATGAAGGTTGTGGATTGGCTCCAATGGTATTTTGGTCATCCATGTCACTTTCATCCAGAACAGGATTATCGATGTGGTCACTAACCAAATTTTCTTCACAAGTTTTAACGTAAGCTTCTAGCTGTTCCTCGGTTTCAATGTTAGAAATTTGTCCGTGAGGGAGAGATGACGATGCTATGCCTCTTTTTGGTTTAACGCCAAACAGAGCTTCATATGGACTCTGGCGTATCCCTTCATGATGAGCTGTGTTTTTGGCGAATTGGACAAACGACAAGCCTTCTGACCATTTATTCGTATCATTATCGTGCATCCAAGCAGTTAACATATTCTGTATGTCCTGATTCGCTCTTTCGACTGAGCCTTGTGTTTGGCTATGACGAGGCTTTCCGTGCACTATTTTAACATCTTTCCACATAGCGCACAGTTCAGATATAACTCGGTTACTGAGCTCTCTACCATTATCTGAATGCAATATAGCGGGAGCACCAAATATTAGAAAAATATGAAGAAGGTGATATGCTACTTCTTCTGCTCTCTTGGTTTTTAATGGTCGTAACTGAACAAACTTCGTCAAATGATCCTGGTATACCATTATGAATTTATAATCGCCATCGCCATGTGATTGCAAGTCTATTAAATCCACTTGACATCTAGAGTTTAATTCGGAACTCACCATTGGTTTCACAACAATACCTTTTCTTGGCGCACTGTGTTTCATTTGACATTGTTTACACAAATTTAAATACAACATTATGACTTCATAAGTAATATTTTTGTATTTAGCTTGCAATTCTTTGAGCATTCGTGTTCTACCTCCATGGCCTGTTCTTATGTGAGTTTCGGAAAGTATATCAAATAATTCTTCATTTGTAACATAATACTGAATATTCGTTTCTCCTGGTTTTAATGGCACAATTAGCTTTTGTTCGTCACTAACTTTCAGGATGTCGAAACGTTTCAAACGTCTGTAGTCCAAAGGTGTACTGCACTTACTTTTAGCAGAAGTTACTTCACAATCGATTTTACAGTACCTTTCTTGAGAAAAATAAAAACAATTGTCTTCTCGTTTACTTCTAATTAGGGCATGTAACTTTTCAAAATACTGATCACTATTGACTGCAGTAGTAGCCATTGAACACAAATTTTAATAACATATATTGAAGTTAAATTAGGTAGTAAGATTGCACGTATACGCTATCAAACCTTGCATAAGACTAACAAGCCTTAACAGAAGCGGACCAAAGCAGAAAAATCCAGTTTAAACCTGTCGTTTCCGACATTGACCAGAGCTCATTCGTGAATGCCGAGATACACCGGTGAAGGTCCGAAATTATAATAAAACTAATAAATGTTCGGTCTTCCACCAACTCATTTGGTGTTTGTCGACATTAACCGGTGAATGTCGACATTCACTAATTTCGGACTTTCACAGTAACAAATACATTTCCAAAACATTTTTACATCAATGCCTATCTCTCTTTCAATATCACTTATGTATAATTTGTACCACTCCTTAGTGAGGTTTTCACAATCTCTGCGAAGTGTCAAATGCAAAGTAATCCACTTCACTTTTCGACTGCTTGATGTGAGTAATTTTCTTCTGAAAGACCAGATAGGAAATTTATCGATGTCCCTTTATAGTAACAACCATATTAGAGCAGTCGAACAGTATCGAGTAAAAGTTATTAACAGCTTCATTTAGATCCTCCGTCATAACGATGGGAAAAATAATTAAGAAGCTTCAGAAATTTAGCTTTATCACCAGGCATGGAAAAGAACCCATCCATCCAGACCTGAGTGGTACATTTGTTAAATCAAAGTCATGTTACCGCAACTGTGATATTTAGGTACCGCTACTTTTGTTCTATTTAATGATGACTTTGACAGATATCGCTATGCATAATGGTGCATTTACATTCACTTCGAAGTCCAATTTGTCTTGAAATTGACGTGCTTGTCATATGGCGGCAGCACAAATCCATTTACATTGAAATAAATTTGAAGTTCACTTAGTGCACTTCAAATTTGGGCGAGCTGCTTACCGAGGGCAAGCAGAAATTTGTAAAATGTCAAATTTTTAAATTAAAGGAGCATTTACATTCACTTCCAACTTCAAGTTGAATTTGACGTTTGATATTTTATCATTTACATTGCAGAACAAAAACGTCAAGTCAAAACGTCAAAATTTAATGAGAAAAATGATGAATAACCTGAAAATTTGACATGTCACAAATTTCTGCTTGCCCTCGGCAAGCAGCTCGCCCAAATTTAAAGTGCACTTCAAAGTGAACTTCAAATTTATTTCAATGTAAATGAATCTGTTCTGCCGCCATATAACAAGCGCGTCAAATTCAAGACAAATTGGACTTCGAAGTGAATGTAAATGCACCATAAAATGCTCCTTAAATGAGAGAAAAATCAGAAGTTTCACGAAAGGTCGGCCTTGTTAATTAAAGCTGTAGGTCATACAGTTAGTTTTTTTCGGCTAACAGTGGTGAGTTTGTGAGTCACCAACTTGACGAAATTCTTGTTCAATGTGAGATTGAACAATGATTGGTTATGCCTTTTAACAAAATGGTTGTTCAGAAAGGAACAATCGAACTATTGTGGAAACTGTAAGAGATTTATCCTGGACAGATCTGGTGTGTCAGGTATTAAGGAAAAATCTATTTACGAAGTATATGATTCTAAAAAAGACCTAATTTGTGACATCTACGATAGTACCAGTTACGCACATGTTCCAAAGTCGCACCGAAAGAAGATGGACTAGAAGGCGATTAAAAATGTGCTACATGTGCTAATATAGTTTACGACAGTGATGGTGGTTACCGGATTTGGTGTAAAGAAGCCAAGAGCTTAGTAAGATCCGGAGATGTAACTTTTCAAGCATTCAAACCTTTGTCTTCTAATTTTCCTTTGTCATGTTTTCAAGAAAATTGTGAACCTGGGGAAAACTTTGGAGAAGAACTGAAAGATAACATGATCAAAACGGAGCTTCCCCCCAGACCAGAAGATGATGAGGATACAGAAGTTGAAGGTTGCAGTAGAAGAGGATTTAATAGAAACAAGACTACAGTAGTTGCGGAATAGAGCTGATATCCGAAGACCAAGAAGATCTGACAATTATGCCATTAAAGTTGCTGCTAAAATTGTTAAACCGATAAAACTATTTAGCTACAATGAAGCAATTACTTTCAGCGAGCAAGATAATTGGTAGTTAGCTATGGATAGTATAATTCAGTCCTTCCAGGAAAATCCGACTTGGGTGCTGGAGAAGTTGCTTGCTGGTAAAAAAAGGCCCTATGCAACCAGCCATATAAGTTGTAAATGAAACCTGATGATTCTGTGGGAAAATACAAGGTAAGACTAGCGATCAATGGATTTTCACAACGACAAGAGGAAGGATTTAATTGCACTGTCGCTAGGAGAAAATTCTTCCTAACACAATTCGACGTAACCGCAACGTTTTTGTGTGGACATCTAGACGAAAAACTGTATGAGAAGCAACCAGAAGAGTTTTTGAAGATTCCAGATATACCGAGTTTGTTTGCCTAAAAGAATTTTATATGAAGTTAAAACATGCTCCTCGACGTTGGAACGAGAGGATTAGAGATTTCCTGAATAATTCAAGGTTCAAGAAAAGTAGGTATTGCCCTTGTTTCTTTATTCAGAGAAGGATAGACATGAGATTTAACTTGCACTGTATGTCGATGATGGCTTGTTGGCATCTACATGTAAAGCTATGGAAGAGAATTGTCTAGCAAGTTTGAAAAGGAGTTCTATCACAGTAAGTCAAGCTGTTTACACAAAAAAAGTGTTGGAACGATTTGCCTTTTTAGATTGCAATCCAGTGTCTATACCTATTGACTATTGTCAAAGAAGCTGTTTGATTATGGAAGGAGGATTAACAGAAATCGGAATCTCATACTTTGTTTCCATATAGAAAGAGCAATTGGAGCTTTAATGTATTTATTGACGTAGTTGAAGATGGTCTTAGATGTTTCAGCTATGCTGACCATGGAAGAGATGAGACTGAGAGCTTACTCATTTTTGTTTTCGGCACAATAGTAGATTACATAAACAATCGACTTTTCCGTTTAATTTCTTAACTCATTGTGACTTCACTTTTCTCAATGTTCACTATTTCAAAAACTTAAGTATATCTTGTATAAGACTAGAAAACCAAGTTGAAAGTTTACAATACTATACGATCGGTTGGTTGTAACGATAGGAAAAACCGAAATCTCTTGGAAAAACCCTGCATAATAATCTCCAAAACAATGCAATGAACGAACAATGTGCGAACAATGCTTTAAGACATGAGAAACGTTTAAAAAAAAATGTCAAAAAATGACATCTTCAAAGTCAAAGTTTTCTTAATATTTTCAACCCGAGTTTGAATCTGCCTGAATTATTCCCAAGTAGGTACCTAAACCTAATATATCTAAGGACAACTTACCATTCTGAGTAGGTAAATCTACACCATAGCTCTGATAAAAATAGTCGCAACTCAACCGCAGGTATATAGGAAAAGCTTAAAATGATGGTAATTATCTTATTTACCAATAATTTCAATAGAGACGTTTAACTTCTGTCTAATTGTAGAATTTTGAAGGGTTACAGTGAACAATGTAATTTCCATGAACTAATTAACATAAAATTGCCTCAAAGACGTTTACTTTAGGTGAGGGCAGAATTTATTGGAAACCACGTTTTAGTTTTTAAAGTTCTGTTTCCTAGTTTGGTTGTATCCTTGTGGTTGAAATCATTTGTTGCTTAAATGGTGCCTGAAGTTATCATGTTAATTAGAAGAAAAACCGAAATGGTAAGAACTTTATTAATAGGTAGTTTTACGTACCTACTGTGAAAATTTGTGCTAAGTAGAAATTTAATTAGTCAGATATCCAATTAGAGAATTTTGCTCGTCACGAAAAATAGTTTATTAATTCATCAATTATCTTATGCAATACTCTCTAGAGAGCCCTCAGAAGTATAGAAACGAATCTAAAGGTACATATTTGTCTTTTTTGGTTGTGGGCAAAGATAATCCTACTCCGAAGTAGGATTATCTTTGTTTTGGGATACAAGTTACAAACTTACAAATTAAAATTTTGTTATTATGTACTACTGTATTTTGACTATAAGTATATGAACTTGTTTCGTACTTTAAGTTCCATCTATTTTTGACTGGAAGTTTTACAACTTAAAAATAAATAGGTAATGAGAAATGACCTCGTATTATCAGGTACTGTTATTATTATTACTTAAACGGAAACACGCCACCAAATCCAATTCAAACCCCATTAAAATTCTTGTCAAAGTTAATCACCAACTGTTTATTTAATTGTTTTTCAGAATTTGCACGACGACGGTCTGTTTGGTAGCCCCATACAAAATCGAAAGCTCATTGGTACGAGTTACGCACAAAGACTGAATTCTCTTAGCCTGAGCCGTACCAATCGGACATCTACTAGCAGCCGTAGAATTTCGACTCCAAATTGTAGAAGAAAAGAGTTGTTTGATGAAGATAGGAGTAATTTAGAATATCAGAGGTTTTGTGAAGGGCTGGAAAAACCCTTGGCGATTGCACTGGTATTGAATAAGGGCAAGAAGATGTCGGTGGGAAAGGATGAAAGTGTTATTTCTGGTGAGTGTTTTAATATAATAATTATTGTTAGTTTCTTTTTTCAAATTGAATGTTGAATAGATTTTTCCCCTTTATCTTGATCAAATCTCATTTCAGGCGGGTTTTTCAGTAAACTATTTCAATCTCTCATTGTTCAACTTTTATTGGTGACACCAGCTATTTATTTGAAAGTTATTCTTTCAAAATTAGCCACTCTTTTTAATTCGAATAAATAATTAACCGAATATCTATAATAAGCATCATGTCTCTTGTTCCTTTAAATTTTCCTTCAAATATAAATATTCTAATTAATAATAAATAATTAGGTACTTACCTACACCTTTTTTTCCAGGTCATTTACGAGTAACCAAAGAAGACCTAGACATCCTCAATCAACCGATAATGAGGGACGACATCAAGCAAACCATATCGGAGAGAATTTTTGGTCTGCTCAACGGTAGTTACATGAAACTTGTTAGGAAAACTAGTAAGATTTTCAAAAGAAACGATGCCAGCAATTTGGATTGTTCGAACGCCAACGATCCAGATTGTCCTTGTAAGAATCGGAATTTCCTGGATTTACGAACTAGGAAAAGTCCGTGTCCTGCGAATAATGCTAACATTATCATAATATAAGTTTATTTAGGAAGCTTAAATTTCGATAATAATTGATAAAATAGCTGTATAATTTATTTATTATTGAGAAAATTTTAACTTGATTGGTGTATGTTTTGTGTAGGGACTTTTGTTAACTTTTTTAATATAAACTCAAAAGTTTTAAGTATGATGTATACTTATTGATTTCTATACCTATGTAAATCCTTTTTTTTCAAGTTTCAAAGTCAAGTACGAACCCTGGTGAAACGAACCTTACCTACCTATTTTTGGAAATTGATAAATAAAGCATACTTATAGCAAGTTTGTGAGGTATATAGTCCATTATTAAATAAGTAAATAAATAAATAAATAAATAAATAAATAAATAAATACGTGTTTATTTCCAACAGATAAAACCTAGATTACGAAAATTTGCTTATAGGCCAGGGCAGATACATTTTTTTCGTAACATAAAATTTAACAGCAAACTATCGATGCAGTAATTGTTAAGGATCATTTATAGATGCTAAAAACCAAAAATGCAACATCTAATTACTTTTAGGGGATTTTATAAACAATATTTAGTGCAAAAATAGGGCTTTTTTTTGTTTATTTCACTGTATTTCGAAAATTAATGATTGGATGGTTTTGCTACTGTGGCAATAGTTTTAGAGCATTGAACAAGTTTTAAAATGAGCCATCATGCAACCCTGTAGGTCTTTTAGTCTTCGAGAAATGATTTTTTTCCCCCCAAAAAAGAGATTTTCGTAAAAAATTCCTAACTTTTTAAATTTTCATGCTAGACAATTAATTTTTTACACATGCATACTAGATGAGGCAGGCTTTATTGAGCCCAAATTTGGGCCCAGTCCGATGGGTCGCGGTCGTTTCGGCATAATACTCTTGTCAAGCAAAATGGGGATGTTTCTAAAGCAGTCTGTCGAATTGAGGATAATTTTTTTATATTTATTTTGAAAAGTCCACTGATAAGTCGAAATGCCAAACTATCGATCCTCTATCAGATTTTCCATTTAATTTTTTTATCGCAAGTAAAACGGCTCCAAACATCACTGAAAATGGAAAAAAAATTGAATGGGTGGGGGGGAGCTCGCTGTCACTCCGTTTGAATTCCCGTCAATTTTTTCCATTTTCAGTCATGTTCGAAGCCGTTTTACTTGCGATAAAAAAATTAAATGGAAAATATGAGATAGAGGATCGATAGTTATTGGCATTTCGACTTATCAGTGGACTTTTCAAAATAAATATAAAAAAATTATCCTCAATTCGACAAACTGCTTTAGAAACATCCCCATTTTGCTTGACAAGAGTATTATGCCGAAACGACCCATCGGACTGGGCCCAAATTTGGGCTCAATAAAGCCTGCCTCATCTAGTATGTATGTGTAAAAAATTAATTATCTAGCATGAAAATTAAAAAAGTTAGGAGTTTTTTAGAATTATTCCACTCATGTGTTAGAAATCCCATAAGACAAGTGACGATTTTCAGAATTACAGCGAAAATTCTCTTTTCCATTTGTTTAACTAGAGAGAATTACAGCGATAATTCTCCCATGTTATTATACCGGGTGTTTTTCAAAACCCGCTCACCCCTATAACTTTTTTGTTTTTGAAAATAAACAAATGAAATTTGGTGTGTTTATTTATGACCCGGATGTTCATTATTTGACGTATTCAATTTTTTACTATCACTTCCGGTTCGACCGGAAGTGACCCTAAGTTTCTTATTTTAAATGAGACGATAGGTATATTTTTCCTCATTTCAATAGAAAACTATATTACGAGTACAGTGACACCTTATTTGTCACTTTTTGACATGACGGAAACCGCTGAACCGATCTCCTTGAAATTTATACCTCATATTCTTTGCTCGTAGTCTCTATATAAAGGGTAGTGTCATCCAGTCTATCCAGTGTAGTAGGTGCACATAGTGATGCCCCCAAAATGTCAGTGTGGGCATGTGGTGTCATGTTGAGAGCGTCGGACCCCCCCAAAGCCACGAGATTTTTGTCCGACAAATAATGGAATATCGTTAATGTTATAAGGAACAGTCGAATGGCAATAAAACGACACGTATGGTATTTTTAATACCCATTTAGAATAACCCCATCCTTTCCTTTCCTTATTTATCAATCACGAATCAGATGAAACAAAAAATTAAGTTACTAGAACGACTGGTACTTTTGAATAGGTATTAAAAACTCTATACAGTCGTGGAGCATTGAAAGGTCTTGTCATTTTTCGCTAAATCAGTGTTTTCTCTACATTGGATTTTTTGCCAAATATGGCAATCCCTGTCATTTTCGTAGGTATAGCTGGTAAGCTCGCTCACGAAGAGCTAGCGCGAAAATGTCCCATCGCCAAGGGTGAAGACATGAACAAAATTGTCCGACTTGGTGTTGTGAAGCAGCTCAGGAAGTTTGGCTTGGCTTGTACATGAGCTACAAAATTGAAAGGTCGATTTACCAGGAGTGACTAAATGAGAAAATACCTACTGCTTGACAGAATTAAATTAAATAGATGTTGAAAAGGGTCAGCCATTATATACAGGGTGTCCCATAAGTCACGGTCCAAACTGAAAGGGGTGATAGAGGAGGTCATTGCCGACAAAAAAAACTTTATATGTTACTATACAATTCTTCACGGTTTTCAAGATATTCGAATTGTATTGATTTTAACAAACATGGTTACATTGGTTAAAACCAACGAACCCATGATTGATTTTTTTTCTTCTAATTATGAGCAGGAATGTCTATGTTTAAACTTTTTTAAGTATGTGAGGTTTTATCTTTCTGCTAAAGAACTTAAAGGAAGTTTTTCTCTCTTATTTTTGTTCCATTCAATTCACAGCAAAAGTTCAAATGATAATAATTTAGAAAGCAAAGATGAAAAAAGGTGACCCATATGTGTTAAAACTACCCTGATTTATCCTTATTCAATCAAGGCCACATTGGTCTAAAAATCTCTAATACTTTTTTTTCTACTCTACTTGCAAATTTCCTTTCTTAACCAATGTAACCATGTTTAGTAAAATCAATAAAATTCGAATATCTTGAGAACAGTGAAGAATTATTGTTTGGTAACATATAGGGTTTTTTTTTGTCAACAATGACCTCCTCTATCACCCCTTTTAGTTTGGATCGTTACTTATGGGACACCCTGTATATGCAGCGCTGTACGATAAAAGTTGGAATAGAGTGGGTTCCCGACGTGATAGTCCTGGAACTGACAGCAGTCCTGTAGTAAAGTTAGCGTAGGGAGAATTTTTTTTCGGGAATATTTAGTAGATGTATTAGTAAGTATTTTGAGCTTGAATGGACATCTACCACTTGGTACACATTCGAATAGGTATACACATTATCCAAATATAGCGTCATTTAAGATAGCGGCCTAGCTAGCAGAAATTTGCGCATATTTAGGTATTTTAATTGGTATAGTTCATCGATTTTTATGAAATTTTCACTTTTTATCATCAAAGGTTCTACGGGGAGGGGTAATCCTTCTTCTCCCCTCTCCCCTACACCCCTTATTTCCTTTTTGCCCCAGAACCTGGAGAAATATTGAAAATATTATGTTAAATACGTACGTATAAGAAACAAAATACCTTCCAAAGTCCATTTTCACCATACTCCTAGGGCCCATTTCGCCCCAGAGCCCACTTAGGGAGTGCAGAGACCTGGTACCGTCAAACGGGGTGACTCTGGACTACGGGTTGACTTGGGACACTTGGGCGCGCGCTTCCATAAAAATTGGCAACAGGGGTGAGCAAGGTGGGAGGTCAACATAAATATTCTGGGGATTAGCATACACTTTGAGGTCTTTAATACACCTAATGCGGGCGGCACCGGGTGAGTCTTTACAGCGACAAAAAATTTGTTTTCAAAGTATAGAGAATCGGTGTTTTTTCAAACCGCTACAATTGTTGTCTGTAAATATATCAAGGTAAGTGATGACATGTATGTTTTATTTATTTTTTTGTCCGCTAATATGTTGTTAAAGATGTAATAAGGTCGTTTTTGCTCAGAAATTTTTATTTATTTTTTTGTGATAGAAAATCTGATTGAATGCACTTTTTAGGGTGACTCGGGACATGCCTCGTAAATATGTTAGGAGGCTTGGCGCAAGGCCATATCAAAATTACGACAAAAAAAGACTTGAAATGGCCGTTAGGGAAAGGTTAGCGAAACAAACAAGTTATAGAGAGTTAGAGGAACGGTATGGGGTATCCAGAAATACCATTAATCAGCATGTCATCAAACAAAATTTAAAAAAACCTGGGGGTCAATTGGCCTTAGCTGAAGCAGACGAAAAAAAAATAGTGAATTCTTTGTTGTGTGTTGCCGATTGGGGATTTCCCTTAGAACCAATGGATATACGGATTTTGGTAAAACAATACTATGACAGAATGGGTGTAAACATAAAAAGATTTACAAATAATATGCCAGGGCCGGACTGGATGAAATCATTTTTATTGCGCCACAAAAATAATTTGGCTTTAAGACTTTCCGAAAACATTAAACGAGCAAGGGCTGCAGTTGACAGGCAAGCAATAAATGTCTATTTTGATGAACTAAACTTATCTCTAGAAAACATTCCTCTTGCGAACATCGTGAACTATGATGAGACAAACTTCACGGACGATCCGGGCCGTCAGCGTGTCGTTATTCGCAGAAGCAACAAACATGCAGACCGTATTCTTGATTCCAGTAAAACATCAACATCAGTCATGTTTGCAATTAGTGGATCTGGTGTAATGTTGCCGCCATACGTGGTGTTCAAATCAGAACATCTCTATGAAAACTGGATAAGAAATGGACCACAGGGTTCTAGATATGGAAATACAAAAAGTGGATGGTTCGATTCAAATCAATTTGAACAGTGGTTTTTGACTATAGCATTAGGCTACTTCCGAAGACTTGAGGGGCCTAAGGTTGTAATAGGCGATAACCTGAGTAGCCACATCTCCCAAAATGTCATCATGGAATGTCAAAAAAATAATATCAGATTCGTTTTGCTACCTCCCAATAGCACCCACCTTACACAACCTCTGGATACAGCATTTTTTAAACCACTCAAGCAATCGTGGAGAAAAATTTTGTTAGAGTGGAAGAAAAAAAATAAAGGAGTACTCCCAAAACCTGAGTTTCCAGGCTTATTAAACAAAGCTTTGGATAATATTGGAGACAAGCTAGAAGACAACATAAAGGCTGGATTTCGTTGTTGTGGTCTTATTCCACTCGACAGGGATCAGGTCTTGAAACGTCTACCCCCAGAGCCT